ATTTTAGATAGGAGTGATTAGAAATCATATTCTTGAAAGCTAACTAACTCCATAAATCAACCTAGTTCCTAAAGCGCTTTAGAAGCGTAACCTAAAAAAAAAAAAGAAATTTCAAAGAAGTCATTCTTACAGCAAAGAAACATCCCAATAGTGTGCCCTTCTTCAGTTCATTTCATGGTTTGACTTTCTGATCATCTTAATGTGTCTAATAAAGTATGGGCATGGTGCCCTAATAAAACAAAATCAATCCATGCAATTCACCACTTTCACTGAATAAAAGATGAGGCTCATAGAATTAACTCAGTAGATGTAAGGAAAAAACATGAACTACTAATTTATGACAAAAACGTTCAACAAACTAGGAATAGATGTTAACTTCCTCACCTGGTAAAGGGTACCAATGAAACCTACTTCAGCTAACACAATCCTTAAGTGACAATACTTGATGAAAAAAATTCCTGTAACAGGAGGACTGGGAGCAAGGCAGAGATCTCTACTCTTTTCCTCTATTTGACATTGCATGATATTGCACCATAGAGTTCGAACCAGTTACAGTGAGCAAGGCAAAAGAGCAAAGATACAGTATGGGTTGAAAAGAAAGAAGTAAAGCTGCTTCTCTCCCTCCCTCTCTCTATCCCTCCCTCCATCAAGTAGAATCTGAAATATACAAAGAACCTCTACAACTTTATAGAGAATCCATACCAAAAATGGGCAAAAGACAATTTCCAAAGTACAATGTACAGATGCTAAATAAGCAAATGGAAAAGTGCTCAACATCATTAGTGATCAGAAAAACACAACTTCACATGACAGAAGACTACACTCACCAGAAGAGCTAGAAATTAAACAGCTTGTTGCCACAAAATGTGGCAAGCATGTGGTTAGAATGTGGAGTGCCTGGCCCGCCCAAATATGGCTGATGGGAGTGGAAGATGCTGTAACCACTACGGAAAACGGCTCATCAGTTCTTACAAAGTCAAACTCTCCCCCGGCCTAACAATACTATTCTTTGCAAGAAAAATGAACACATATGCCCACAAAGAGTCTCACACAAGCATTTTCAGAGAAGTTTTATTCCTAATAGCCGAAAACTGAAAACTCAAAGGAACAAGCAAATGTTTAAACAAACCACAGTGGTGGTGTTTTCATATAATGGGATAATGCTCAGCAGTCAAAAAGAACAACTGATATAAATATACACAGTGTTTTTGAGTCTTAAAACATTCTGCTGAGTGAAAGCAACCAGGCCCAAAGGATGGCATGTTACATGATGCTACTTGGGAGGACTTCTGCTTTTAGTCCAGAATCTTCTGGATACTTCAGCAGACCAGGGTCTCTCAAGGCATCGCCTGGGTACCACTTGCTGGCACTAGCAAGTCCAGAGTCTGATTCCACACAGAATCCAAGATCCACTGATTAGCCATATGATCCGGGGGGGCCCAAATTACAGCAAGAAATAGAAAAGAGAGTCACTCAACAAACAGATGCAGGATGATAAAGCAAGATGAGTCCATAGTAGAGAGAAAAAAGAAAACAAGGGAAAGAAAGAGTGAACAGCCCTTCAGGGGAGAAGCGCCTAGATGCTTGCAAAGAAATCAGGGTATAAACGATGCACCCCTCTACTGTGCCATCTGCTGTGATGCAGAATCCCTTCACGGGTAAGAGTATGGACCTAGAGCACACCTGCTGGGCCAAGCTCCGTTTCCTATTCACTCCATAATCTGACTTGTCCCAGGAAAAGCCACTTGGGGGAAAAGCAGAAGTTGCACTGAGGGTTCCTGAAACCCAGGCTGCAGACTGGCCTCATACTGACACCTGTAAGTGCATTCTGGAAGCAGCTCCCTGAGCAACAGGCAGCAGGAGAGCCAGGAGAGAGTTGCCACATGTAGCTGGCCGCGTGGCTGCCTGGGAAAGTGGGATTCCCAGAGGTCCTGTGTGCAGGAGCATGGCAGAGCCAGGGCCCTGATACCTCAGAACCACTAGCCAGCCTTCAGGTAGCTGCGCCACACAGGACCCCGCCATGCGGTCAGCACTGGAGGACCCGTCCATGCCCAGCCTGGGTGGCAGGACAGGCGCCACCAGTTGGGCCACTGCAGTTATGTGAAGCTGGAGACGTCAGGATTTCAGATCCCGAGTCTGGAAAAATCTCAAGAGCTCCCACAAAATGGGAAATTTGAGCACAGAGTGACAGGTGTGAAGTCACCTAGCAGTGAGATGCTCTGGCCTGGGGTGATTCCTCAGTTCACGGCAGAGTTCAGGGAGGAGTTCCTGGGGAAGCTGCCTGCACCAGCTCCAGGCACTGAATGTACTGGGAGCGGGGGACACTTGTGTCTGCTGCTACTGTCATTGTAGGGGGAGGTGGGGTTATAGGGCCCCCCAGCCTGCAGATAGCATGGCGTGAAGCCCAAAAGACTGTGCAAAACACTGCTATGCCCCAATGTCTGGACCTGTCTTCCCACCTATACAGACTACGGAGAAGGATCGCCATAGCTCTGCTGTGAGAAACGAAAGCAGACACTCTCTTAAACCCCTCCCCAACCTGCAACTCTGGCTCAGCCCCACCCTGTCAGCATTTCGGGTGAATTTCCAGAAATTCTGGTCGGAATTTCCAGAAAGGGAGTGGGGAAATCCATGGGAGCCAGAGAATGAAGTCTCGGTGGGAAGGCACTTAGAACCCTTTCCCTTTCTGGTCAGGGGATGAGGAAGAGATGGGAGCCCAGAGCCGGGATTGGGGTCTTCTTAAGGTCACATGCATGCCTACGACCCCTTGGGATTAACATCTGAGTCCCAACTTAGTGCTTCTAACATCTTATTCTTTTCACCACCAGCAAAGAAAGGGTGTCCTGCCCAGCTGACCAGCCCTGGCCTGGGTGAGGCCTTGACTGGCTCGGAGTGCAGTGCCACTCATGGTGGCTTTGTGGGGAGGCTTCAGGGAACAGGTGCTTTGAAGGTGCTTAGTGGGGCTGGGGACAGGGTCACTGAAGGACTTGGACAAGTGATGTCTACCCTAACCCCAAGTCCACATGGGCTCTAGGCCTTCCAGTCCACTAAGGGGGTCATTCCTGGCTCCAGGGTGAGGCTCTCCCAGATATTCCAGATGATGCAGAAGGGCCCCCACCCCCAGTCAGACCTCACCCCTAGAGACTGGCCTACCCCAGCCTCTCCTGTGCTTTCACCCTCTCCCCTGGCAAAGCTCCAGAACCTTCCACCATTCCCGCTCCCCCCACCCACTAGCTAGAGAAGATACTCACTGATGGGGGCGTGTAAGGCCACGTGCTCCTGATAGGGAGTGTAGTACTTGTACTGCTTTCCGCAGAATTCACAGGTGTAATTGCCGGTTTCTGTCCAAGGAGAGCAAAGAGTGGGAATGGGTGCCTGGGGTCCATCTCAGAGCAGCAGCATGCACCCCCTGCCCCAACTCCTCCCCATTCTGGGACCAGCAACTAGAATCAGGAGCCCACTCGAGTCAGAACCTGGGTTCAAATCTCAGCTCCACCACTCAGGCAAACCTCTTAACCTTTCTGTGCCTCAGCTTTCTTATCTGTAAAATGGGACCAGTTTTGATAGGATTGCTGTGAGGATTAAATTTCTATGTCAGTGCTTAGAACAGTACCTGGCACACACTGTTCTCCTTCATCGCTCCACCCCCAGGGCCCAGTGCTCAGGAAATGTGCAGTGCCCCAAGGTGACCTCCAGGGCCAACCTCTGCCAGCCCCTATTGCAAGCGCTGCCCTCAGCAATGGTCACTACGGGGTGTCCAGGACCTTCCTTCCCTGTCCCCGAGCACCCTCCACCCCCACCCTCAGCAAAAAGGGTCACTTCTTCTAAAGTCCCACCAGACTTTACCTCTCTTTTGGCACTGCCTAACTTCTTTCTTCTTAAAAATTTCTGATGTAATATTGTTCACTGGGGGAAAATTATAAAATACTGATAAATACAAATACAAAAGTTTAAAAGTAAGAGAAATTTCAATCAGCTGTAATCCCCAAGCAAAGAGCCACAGCTCTCTCCTGGGGAGAGTGTGCACTTTGCTATTTTACCCCTTGGGGACAGGCCCCACCCCTCATCTCATCTCATCTCATCTCATCTCATCTCATCTCATCTCATCTCATCTCATCTGGGGCAGGCTTCTTTCACTGACATCATTTGTCTGGTTCCTGCAGGCCTTAAATTAGCCAGCCCTGATTTATCTCCTCCTTGTAACCCGGTGCATTCAATTGACAATATTTTGTGGACATCTTGCACAATCAATAGCCATTGATCGCCACTGCATTTATTGGCTGCAGGGCTCCTGCCGGACTTTGGAATTTGCTGAGTCAGTCTCCTGTTCCAGGGGACATTTAGATTGTTTCCCATTTCTTCCCCCTTATTAAAAGAGATGCTGCGATTCATATACTGGTAGACATTTTTACTCATCTGCGTATCATTTTTTGCACATCACTGCAGAATAAAGATTATCGTGTATAATGTTTGCACATTATTTCCTCAGGATAAACTTAAGGGTATGCATTTTTGAGGCTTCTGATAACTATGGCACTGACTCTCTAACAAAAGGTTGGGCCAACTTTCATCCCAATTAGAAAAGTGTGAAAATAAATGACTTGTTTCCATACATAGTAGCCAGCATTAAATACTATCATCTTTCTAAGTTGTGTCTGATTGGGTGAACTATATTGCCAGTTTTATTTTTCATTTCTTCCTAGTTCTAAGGAAATTGACTATTTTTCATGTTTAATTAACTATGATTTTTGTCTTATGACTTTCCCATTTGTGTTCACAGCCACTGTTTCTATAAGTATATTGTATATTATAATGTTATATATTTTGTTATAGAAGTATATATTTTCAAATTGCTAAGAGCTCTGTAGATTAAAGACATCAACATTTTGCTCAATATGTTACAAGGATTTTTGTCTCAACTGGAATCTTATTCTGTTTATGGTTTTTTCTCAATAAAGAAGCTTTAAAATCTTTGTAGTTAAATAATTGCTAACACCGATTCATGAATACTAGAAAAGATATATTATTTTCTATTACTAAAAGGCACATTATTTATCATAGGCTTCCGCTTTGCTAGCTCACCTGTATTAATTATATTATTCAACCCTTATACGGTATTGGGCATGTATTTGCTCGATTCAGCAACTGTTGTGACAGATCTTTCTATTTCGCTGTATTCCTACTTTTTTTTTTTGTTTGTTTGTTTGAGTATTTGGATAGGATGTTGTTTAAGCATGTAGGCTCATGACATGATTGTCTAATGTGCTGCTTCTCAGATGTAGTCCCAGGCCAGCAGCAATGACATCACCCAGGTACCAATTTGCTGTTGGAATTGCAGAATTGCCAGACTCACCCAGGACATCATGAAAGAAAAATTCTAGGACTGGAATTCAGCAATCTGTATTTTAATAGGGCCCCTAGAAAATTCTGAAGCTCAGGAAAGCTTAAGAACCACTGTTCTAACAGTTAATTATTAGACGAACTAATAAAAGCTCATCTGGCATTAATATTATTAACGCTTGATAATTACTTTTCAGGCCCTCCTTTCTACTTGTTTGTATGCGCCTAAAGACATTTCCCTAAATTTTCTTGCAATTTCATTCATTAAACAGATACCGCACTCAATACTGGCACAAAATGTTGAGCAGAATAAAAAAAAAAAAAAAGCAAACATTCCTGCCTTCAAGGAGCAAACATTCTAAAAAAAGAGACAGAAAATTCAAATAATCACAACAACCAATTTTAAAACTGTAATCATGACAGGTGCTTTCAGAGAGATATTCCCAGGGCTATGAAAATCTTAACAGGAAATTCAATTTAGTTAAGGAAACAGGAAAGAAAGCGTTCCTTGAGAAGTTCAAATTCAGGGTAAAAGATAAGAATTAACCATATAGGTCCTCTAATAAAGCATTAGTAATTGGGTTATTTTAAATTAACCTAAGAATCTTTGTTTTCTAATAAAAGAGAGAATGCCATTTATTTTTATTGCTATAACTGACTTGGTTTTCCATTACATTTTTTTTCATGACCTGCCCTTTCTGGTTTATTCCTTTAGCATTATAGTTGTTTGAAATTTGAACTCTTTTTTGGGGGGGGGTTCCATTATTTTCCAGTATTTTTTATTGTGCTCGATGGTCCATAAGATTTATTTCTCTAATCGTTACAATCAAGTAGAAAAGTGCTATTTTCAAGTTTATTGTCAATGAGAAAAGTAATTTAACTCATGATTTTTAAATTTTAGCATGTACAGTTGACCCTTGAACAACATGGGGTAAATGAGGCACTGACGCCTCCCCCCAGAACAATCAGAAATCATCTTAGCACTTCTGAATCCCCCAAAACGAATTCTAATAGCCTACTGCTGGCCTGCAGCCTTACAGATAACAAACCATCAATCGACACAATTTGTTTGTCTGACGTATTAGATACAATGAAGGAAGTTAGAGAAAAGAAAATGTTATTAAGAACAGAAGGAAACCACAGTACATGCATATGACCATATTATATTTATCAACTACATAAGAACATCTTCCATTCTAAGAAAATTCACATGTAAGCAGACCCATGCAGTTCAAAAGGTCAACTGTGTTAAGAATCATCCAGAAAGACTGGACAGATGGCTGGGTTGCAATCCCAGAGACTGAGATTCTGTACCCTGGCATGGTGCCTAAGAATGTCCATTTCTAATAAGCTTCTAGAAGATGCTGAAGCGGCTAGTCTGAGGACCTCATGAGCAGTAGGGCTGACTTAACCTACTTTACTGTCTCCCTCACCTATTTTTCCCTTACTGTTTAAAAAAAAAAAATTAGAGTAATGAGTCCATGGCATTCAATTTTCTAATCAGATTTGCAGCTTTTTAAACTTTCTACTTTATCTAATCAGGATTCACAAGTCATCCCGTGCAACAAATTCCTCATAACTGAGTCTTCACAAACGCTTTTACCACTCAGTTGTATACCTCCAGGTAACTTTTTGAAGATGTGTACACAGGAGAAAGATTATGAAATTAATGCACAGATCACAATTTGCCTACATATGAATCTCCTAAATTGCAACTTTTCCCCTTCAAACCTTCTTCAAACATACTCTGGATTTAGTATTGCACAAGAGTCTGATGCAAGGCCATGCTTGGTGGGTATGTAACAACTTGCTTTTCGATGACCAGATGCTGACAGAGTTTTTCCCGTTGTGTTTACAGTTTTAAAATCTCTTGGAGAGCCATCTAGTTATGGATCTCTTTACACAGACTCTACCCGGCATACAATGAGTCTTTCACTATACACACTAAGGTCTTCCTTTTAGCAGAGCAAATAATTCTTCTATTACATCCTGGGGGTATTGATTCTGTCCCGCTGCTTTAGTAACATCAATTATCTGGAACTGGTTCACCATTCTCATAGGTATCACATTTTCCTCTTACTACCTTTGCTGTTCAAGTCTGTCCTTCAATTCATAAATTCCATTTCTGCAGGTTGATTCTGCTCTTTACAACCTACAACTAGGTTTAATTTCTGTTTTAATAATTCCGACTTCTTTGCAATCCTCATTCTCACCTCTTTTCATTTTATCTTGCTGCTTTTTCAACAAACAATTCCAGGCTGCTTGTTCATAGGGGTTATGTTATAGACTGAACTGAATCACCCCCGAATTCAGATGTTATTGCCTCACCTCCCCAAATGTTGGTATATGGAAGCAGGACCTGTGGGAGGTAGTCAGGTTTAGCTGAGGTCATGAGGATGGCCTCATGGGTGAGACACCAGAGAGCTCAGTCTGTCTCCCCACATGGGAGGACACTCCCAAGCCGGGCGGAGAGTCATCACCAGAACCCAACCAGGTTGGCATCCTGATTCTGGGGTTCCAGTCTCTGGAACAGTGAGAAAATACATTCCACCTATTATGTGGCCTTTTATTATGGCAACTTAAGCTGACTGAGTAAGTTTTATTTTCTAATATTCAACTCTGGCTGCCAAACAAAGTTTCCCAGCTACTGCAATAGATCAGAGGTATGTGCTTCCTCTGAGTCTCCTCATTTCTCTTTCCTTCTGTTACAGAGAATTTTCATAGTGCCCATATTTTTTATCCTTTCAAGTTTCTCTTCCTTACCCAAGTACACAAATCGAATAACCCACAAATGGACCCACACGTACTCAGCTTCAATAGATATGAATGATTTGGCCTCAGTATTCCCGTTTCCATGGTAGTAATCAGCACGGCAGACCGAGACCACAGTGTAACTCCCAGATCTGCAGCTGTAAAGCAAACTGGAACATGGGGTCTTGCACCCACTCCCTCCTAGCAGGATTCTCCTGCTCTGCATGGTTCCTGCTTCCTCCTCCCCGCTCCTTCTCCAAAAGCACCTGTTTCTCTAATTTGCTCAGCTGATGCAGATGGGGAAGGCGTACACACAGCTGCCTCGGTGTTTCTCCTTCCCCCCAACCTACAGAGCCCTGCTTGTGACAACTGGCCCCTCACAGTGCCCCATGGCCTCAGGGGCTCCCCTTAGTCTATGCACAGCCATTTAGGGGACCACAGCACTGTCCTGCTTACATGGGCAGAAGCTCAAGCAGCAGCATGCTTATCTCCAGGGTGACTCCTGAGTGGTAGCGAGTGACAGCCTCACATCACCCTAACAGTCTCAGTTCAGAGCATCATGCTGGGGGCAGGCAAGACGCCAAACTCACTTCACTTTCCTCAATGCCGTTCCCTTACTCCTTACAATTTGCGATGATGCGTCCCAGGCCCTCGCATCAGCTGTCTGTCAGACTTAGTTACTGATGTAAAGGACAAGTTTCCTCTTGTGCTGCATCTTCCAGGGTAATTAATAAGTACAACTTATTTCATGCTTTCTATGTAAGTGTCAAGACTGCACTAATTCCTTTACAAATACAACCTAATCTCCACGGCAATCCGGAGAGGTGTGTTTGATCGCCCACTTTGGGGTTTACGAAACTGGAATTAGAGCGATTAAGACTTGTAGGATGTCACACAGGGATTAAGTGTGGAGCGCTGGGATTCCTATCAGGATGGCCCCAAAGAGCTCGTTCTCTCTCTTGACTCTCGGCAACATGGCTCAGGTGTCTGCCCTGGCTCAAGCCAGTGCTATCCTGGACACTTAGTTCCCGCATTGTCCAGCAGTCCTGCAGAAGAGACAGATGCCCTCGCCTCCACGGGCAGGTACAGAGCTAGAAACTGGCTACGTTGCAAAGCCAGGCCTGCTAGACTGCAAAGTATATTTTCATAATTACGAGGCCAGAGACAAAGTGCAGTGCCCTGCTGGGGGTGCTGGCCAAGAGCATCCTGGAGAGCGAGGTCAAGAATCCCTGTCCCCGCCCCTACATCTGAGAGGTCCACCAGGGAACATGCCCGATTCCCACCTGGGTTTCCCCATGGTCTAACTTCTGACGTTGAGGATTTTGTCAGTTTCTTCATCTTCAAGGTGATGTCAATGCTGCTACATACTGGGTGCTCCCTGTGCATAGGACAAGCCCGTGCTAACCATTTCCCAGAGTGCCACATCACTGCTTCCTGCCCCGGACCACTTTCTCTGCAGACGGCCCTTCAGATGGTAACGACAGTGTACCAGGCACTGTGCTAAAGGTGGTTTACATTCATGATCTCATTTAATCCCCCAACAAACCTGCAGGGAAAATGGCACCCTCATTCCACAAGTGAGGCGCAGAGGCTCAGGATGGCTAACAGACTGCCGGGCATATAAGGAGCAGAGCAGGGACTCAACGCCAGGCTGATGGCCTTCACTGCCCTGACCGTGACCTGAGCTGTCCTGCCACTCCTCAAAAGCTAAATCCGAAGACAGATGGGCCGAGTCGACAGGTGGGCAAAGGGAGGTCCAAGAAGGCCAGCTGCTCACTGGCCATTGCTGTTACCGCAGGGCGAGCAAAGCAGCCCCTTTCCAGCAGCGGGACTGATGCCGTGCCCGCCCCCAGCCCCCACCGGCCTCCCACCCAGCCCTAGCCCCAGGGAGACGCCCGCATACTTGGCCCGATTTTCTGGAATGGCTCCGGAGGCTCCTCCTTCACCTCCTCAGTGGCCACCACGCCTTGGTCGAAGGGGTCTGCAGGACAACAAATGGCCCTTAGCATCCAGGTAACCAGGTCTCAGGGGTCCAGGATAAGGAAGGTGGGCAGTCACTGAGGACTTACCTGCCCGATTTTCGGGGGCCCCTTCCACACTAAACACTGCGCCCAGGCGGGAGGAGGCAGCCGCAGAAGGAAAGAAGCAAACAGGAGCCCTGTTAGTCCCAGAGCCTCTGCCGGCCTCTGTCCCGTCAAGGTCACCTTTAGGACTTGGGGGGTGGGGGTGGCCTTGGTGAACCTGGAAACCCCAAAAACCCAAGGGCCAACCAGGATGAAGCCTATATGGCCATCGTTTACCCACCCCAGGGACAGGGGCCACCCGAGACAGGCACTTCTGCCTGATGGTATCTGCATCACCAACATCCTCTTGGGGGCCAGGGCAGGGCAGCGGGTAAGACGGGGTGGGGAGAAAGGGCTGGGGGGAAGATGAGAGGAAGTCTGTGGAATATAGGAGGTGAGTCTGGCTGTCATAGCGGGAGAGGGCTGAGGGTGTGTGTGGGCCTAGAGAGGGAACCCCCAAGATCCCTTCTAGGTGTCAAATTAAGATTCTAAAATATATTATCTAAATTTATTATGCTAATTTCTAACTCTATAATCTAAGATGCTAAAATATCATCATTTCATTCATTTTTAAAAAATTGGTTTAATTTCACCAGATCATGCAAATACTTAATATGAAATCATAAAAAGAACTGATGTGAAATTGCCAAACTCCACTGATTCTGACCTACAAAAATGGCAATGTCCCTTGGGTCACGCTGCTCAGAAGAGCACATGGTGCATGAAGGGGCCTGGCCCGCCCCAGAATCTCAGCAGTTGTCCCCTCCCTTCCTCGTGGTCTGGAGGCAGGTGGGGGCTGTCAGTAAGCAGCCCTGCGGGAAGGGGGTTCTGGATGTGACCCCGACCCCAACAAGTGCAGGGCCTGACTCACCATCCACCGCGTGCAGGTCTCGGTGCTCTTGGAAACAGCTGTAGTATTTGTACTTCTTCCCACAGATGTCACATGTGTACCTGAAATTGTCTGTGGGATGGAAAGACATTCCTGGTTACTGGGGCTTCCGTCGCGTGGGTGGGCTTTTCAGACCAGCTCCTGTGTCTCCGGAACCACAGACTAGTCCCCCCGGCCCAACCGCTGACACTGGGGAGCCCGGGGCACCTGCTTCCTGAGCCAGTCTGCTCCTGTCACTGCCCGTCCATCTCCCTGCTGGCAGCTGTAGCACAGCCCTCCAGCTTCCCCTTCCCGACCTGCAGCTGGGGCTGGTAGAGAACTGACGGTCTGGCCTTGGTGCCAGGCCTGCCCTCTGTCTCCACTAGGCCCACGGGGCCCAGGGTGGGATGCTGGGGGTCCCACCTCCCTCGGTGAACGGCATGAGCGTAACAACCACCGCAGCTACCACTTCCTGGTGCCACTCCGTGAGGTGCCAGACAGAGAGCTTCACCTGCGTTGCCCCAGGTTAGTGCTGTAATGAGGGAGGAAGGTTCCCACTTAACACAGGAGGAAGCAGCACAGCAGAAGGGGACCTGCCCCGAGACCTCAGTGGGGGGGTCCTATGGGGGGTGGCTTTGGGGTGCTCCCAGTGATCTCTGCCTTGGGCATTCATGTCCTGGGCAGTATCATCCCCTTGAGTCTGGGCTGGGCCTAATGACTTGCTTCCAATGAACGGCAGCAGAGGTGGGAAGTCAACGCATGATGACACAAGACCTGTGTCTTGCACACCTGTCTCTTGCCCTTCACCGAGCTGTGAGCTCTCTCAACGAGACCTACTCGGCAGTCTCTGGTGAACAGTCGGGGGGGGGGGACCATGGCCCTCAGTCTGACAGGAACTGTGTGGGAAGGCTTCTGGTCCTCACTTAGCTGAACTTTGGGATATCTCCCACCACTTCTGCCTCACCTAAGCCAGGTGAGGTAGCAGGTGCACAGGTACCAGGTAAGGTACCAGAGTCACAGAGTCTAAGCAGTCCCCACATGAGGTGCCCACAGACATTCTGCGGGTGTGGGGACCAAGTAGGGTCCAGGCACTCCGTGGCCCTCCCAGGGAGGAGAGTGCATCTGAACCAGTCAGGGGTGGTGGGGGGAACAGTTGGGAGGTGTCCTGTCCACCCAGACGGCCAGCAAATGCTGACACCACCTCAGATTCAGCTCCCCTACTTCCTCCCCTTAATTTGGAGGCAATGAGGGATTGCTAAGCTGATTCTTGGGGACTCTCCCTCCCAGGCTGGAGATTCTAGGCCTCCAAGCCTAACTTGGGCTTCCATTCTTCCCACAGCCAGCAACCCAGCTTAGCAACACCCTCCTCCATCATGTCCCAGCTGACATCCGCCCACACTCTCAGCACTGCACACCCAGGGAGAATTCAGGACCCCCTGAGGCCTGCTGGTTTCAGGTAGGCCTCTGTTCTCAACCCTCCCCCTCCCTCTCTGTGCCTTCTACAGCTGCCTGACCCACCTGCCTGGTACCAGCTTAGTTACCTCAACCACCTTCAACACATGACCCAACTTTCAGATGCTGAGAAACACCCCTTGCCTGCAATCAAATCCCACACTGCCACCCCTTCTCTGGGACTCGAGACCACACACCCAGGCCCGCCAAGGCAGAGTGAATTAGAACATGAGAGTCCAGGATAGAAGGCAGAATGGTTATTTTGTCTGTGAAACATGGCAGAACCCCAGGAGAGCGCAATGTCTCCAGGAATGCCACTGGAGATGTGTTTTAGGGCGCGGGCCCTGGAGTCAGGCGGCCTGAGCCCAAACTCAACGCTTCTGCTGACAAGCACAATTCACCTCAGACACAATCCCTCATCTCCACACCCCAGGCTTCTCATCTGTGAAATGAGAACAAGAGGTCTGTTCCCTCCCAGAGCTGAGTGAGATAAAGTAAGCAAGCCCAAGGCCTACAGACCATTAGTACTTGGGAACTATTCTTGTACTAGCATTTTATAGAGGGAAAGACTCCACAACTGTTCCCTAATATTATTGCACTACAAAGAGAATAGATGTGGTGTTCATCTGTTATTTTCTTACTCAAGAGACAGGATAAATGGGGGCACACCTCCATGTCTGGGGGTGAGATCATCCCTCTGAGTCCACCAGGGACACCCCATGAACCCAGAGATAGAACCAACCCCCACTTATAGCACCTTTTGCTGAATGCACATACCTGCGATAATGCCTCACTTATAAATAAGACACAGGAAGAGATTAAAAGACAATACGAATAAAAGCAGAACAATTGTAACAATAAACTGCGATACGTTACATATGCACATTCTCTCTCGCTATCAAGCTATCTTTGGCAGTTTTTTTCAGACCTAGTGAACTGTGGGTAACTGAAATGATAAAAGGTGCAATTGCAGAGAGGGACTAATGATGTACTCCGTGCCCACCCTCCACCCCACAACAGTGGCCAGCGCGCTGAGTGACCTTTCTTAGAACTCAGCTCCTCAGCTGGCAGGGCAGACCGGACCTGAATTCTCATAGGGGCCCTCCTGGCTCCCCGACCCTGCCTAGGCCCCTGCAACCAGACTGGTGGTGTAAGGGCTCCGGGTTTCCAAGCAGCACCACCAGCCTGGGTATAGGTGGCAGTGTGGGACTGAGAATAACATAAGGGGCCCTGGTCAGGGGGAGAAGCCGCACCAGGAGGAGCGAGAAGTGATGGGCGGACTAAAAATACCCCTGGCTACAGAGCCATCCACAGCCAACAGGCTTCTTGAAACAACGGAAGCCAGATGAACAACGGGTCACTGAGGGGCCTGCCGGGGAGGCCAGAAAGCCAGAATAGCCGAGGAAGGAAAGACAAATAGGAACTGCTTTAAATATGTGGCTGACCGCAGGCAGAATCTGGGAGCCGGCAGCGAAGGGCCAGGCTTTGCCTCCGCCTGTTGTGGGCCCTCTGGCAGGTGTCTGGTCAGTCTGGGTCTGAGAGTCCCCAGAAGACGGAGGAATAGCCTCAGCCTGGCCTGCCTCTCCCAGGTGTAAGAATCCAGAGAAAGAGCAGTCGGGAAAGTTCCTCGGAAGAAATACTCCGAGGGCCCCGTGCAAGGAAGGTCCCCCACGCCTCCACAAAGTGCTTTGTTTGTTTTGATTTTTCCTTTTGGTCACGCTGACTTATTTTTAAAGCATCTTCATGTGCAGAATGGGTTTGGCAAACAACGGCCCGCCCGCCCACCACCCATTTGCTAAGGCCTTCCCTTCCCTTCCGCAGCGTCTCTGGCCAGGCGCCGGCTCCACGCGGCCCAGCAGTTGTGACTGAGGCATCTGGCTGCAGAGTCTAAGTGTCTCCTGGCTGGCCCACCACCCAAAGCCTGCTGATCCCTGGCAGAGGAAAGTGTCCGGATCCTAAGTGCTCGATATCCCCCAAAACACCCATGGAGCCAGTGCCTAGGTCGAAGCAGAATCCGGAAGCCCCTTCCACCTGTGTGGATTCCTTTTCCCTGACTGTGCTTTCCCTTTGCCAACATCAGTCTGTGGCTAGCCATGTGGAGCGGTCTCACACAGCCCTTGGGTAACACTGACTTCTTTATTCAAATAGGGCAGACACGGAGAGGGGAGGAGGTTCGCATTTAGGGGGGCCTCTCCAATAGCTATGCTAGAACGTTCTCCTCCTTCACCCCTTCTGGACACTCGCACAATTTCTGCTGTGTGAGGCTTGCACCGAGGCAGTGGCAGTATGGGTTCTGAAATCTCCTCCACCCCCCACCCCCCACACACACACCCATCTGGCTGGAGCCCAATCACCCAGTGAGTAGTGCCTGTGGGTGCTCAGGAGGATTTCCCAAACATCAGCGATGGACCCCTAGGCCTGTGAATGGCAGGTAAAAGGCAGAAGAGTTGGCGTATACTGGGCCTCTCTTGGAAGTGCACAGGCCTGTTGACCAGTGAAGAGACGTGAGAAGCTTCCAGGCAGGAAACTCGCAGCTTAGAACTCCAACGTCCCCCAACATTTTGGTGAGAGAATTTATTGACAGAACACGAGTTAACTTCCCCAGCATGAGTACGCCAGGGAACACACTTTGGGCAAGGCTGCTCTGAGTTCTATTAAGTTTCACAAGGATCCTAAAAGCCTGAATCTAGGACCACAGCAACGTGTTTCCCAGAGAGAGTCTGGGGTCAGTCCGGGTGGGTGGGAATAGCTAGGAAGTGCATGTCCTTCCCCTACCCCAGCCCTCTTGGGCCCCCACGCTCATGAGGAGACCAAAGTACTCACTGCCTTGGGAGGCTCCCTCCCCTGAGGTGGCTTCGGTGTCTGCAAGAGAAAGATTGAGAAGGGGGTGAGCAGACTGGCACCAGTGAAAGGGCCAGAGGGAGAGACAGAGAGAAACAGACAGACAGACAGCGCACTAAGACGTGGCCAGGAGAGCACCCGCCCATGTGCCCAGGGACATGCCCTTCCCTCTGAGGCAGCAGGGAAGCAGGTCCCCACGGCTCTTCCCTATGCCACTGGGTCAGCTGGGCCCTGACCCAGTGCCCTTCCTCTGCAAGGCCCCCGGAGGGACGGCGCCATTCTTCCTGTCCTTCGTCTTCAGTGCGGGAGACAGCGGCCACCTTCCTCCCGGGCAGCCGTGAGAAGCAGAGAGGGCATGCGAGACTTTTCCTGCAAGGGCTGCTATAGGCTGGCGGCACGGAGTAGGGGCCAGGAGAGCAGAGCCTGCAGCAGACCGGGCAGGTTCCCCCAAAGCCCTGTGCTCTCCTCTCCCCTTTTCTCCTCCTATTCCTACTGAAGAAGAAGGGAGGAGACTGCGAAACAAGACAGGAGAAAACTGGATCTCTAAAGGTCTCTGGGGTCACCTGTGAGGGTCCCCAGTGGTAAAAAAGAGGAAGGTACAGCCCTTTGGCTCGGCCCAGGGACACCCCACTCACCTCGGTGTGCCCGTACGTGGGTCTGGAAGCAGTTGTAGTACTTGTACTTCTTGCCACAGATTCCACATTCATAGGACCCTGGAAAACAGGAAAGAGAAAGGCCCGTCAGCCAGATCGTCAGCCAGATCCGTGTCCTGGGCTGCAGGCCCGAGGGCTGCTACCAGTCAGCCATTGGTGAACCTAACTCTGTAGGGGTGCTGGTGGAGAGGGAGGCTTTTCCAGTGACTGCTAGGTCCCCAGCAAGCAAAGAGGAAGCAATGGCCACTGGGGCCAGAAAGTCAGAAATCGGGGGCCTGGGTCTAGTTCCAAGTTCATCTCTTCAGTTACTCAGGGCAAGTGACTTCCCATGTCTGGGCCTCTGTTTCCAAAGCTGTCAACATAAAGAAGGAAATGTCTTATACGCAGTCCATAAAGAGGAAAAAGAGATGAACACAGAAGGAAATAAAAGGAGGAAGTGGAGCCCACATAAGGAAATCATCGCTTCGATGCAAGAGTCATTTCCAGCTCTTTCGCTCTTGCCAGTATGGGACAGAGGTCAAGGTCAAGAGGACAGGCTTTGCGTGAGACCCGTGTGGCTCTCTGTCCAGTTCTACCACTTACCGATAACATAACCGTGGTGATTTCCTTAGACACACTATGCCTCCTTTTGCTCACCTGTGAAACAGGGCTAACTACAGGTGTTACTTCACAGGGACGGCCCCACTCTCCCCAGGAGTGCTCAGACCTATGACAGATGTACGCAAGCGGAGCGTGCCTCGAGCCTGCTGGGGAGCCATCGTGTTCCCCAGACAGCAGAAACCAACTCAACGGTAAATGCCCAATCCAGCCCTTGGGGGTCCCTGAGCCAGAAGCAGGCCCATGCAAACAGCTGAGTTCCCACTGGGTGTGTTGGACAGGTCAACGGTGAACAGAGCAGGGGCCAAAGCCCATGCAGGAGGCCAGGCTGAGACCATCAGACCAGCCTGACATCCCCACATGCCTGAGTACAGGCCGCACCCTTCCTAACAACGTCACCTAGGAGCTAGTCACCCCCCACTAACTTATGTTAGAATGGCCGGGGCTAGGGTCACCCTGTGGTGCAGGGGTTGAAGTATCGCTGCTATCAAACTACCACCAGCCATGGCAGAATGATTTCAACCCCCAGCCAGGGAGCTGTCCCACATGGAGCAGCAGACCTCTCCTGGCTCGCTTGCTGCTTCCCTCTGCAGTGAATTTCAGTAGATCCTCCTGTTCCGCCCCCCACATCTGCTCTGGTGAAACGTCTCAACCCCTGTACCTCTGGCCTACACCCCAGCTCCTGCACACATGAATAAAAAAAAAGAATGGCTGGAACAAGGGGGGAGGATCTAAGCCATTTGCCTTTTTCAAAAGGGTCTTCAGGGGTTCCTGGGACCCAGCCACCAGGCAAAGGGCTCACTGGTTCAGAGCCAGACAGACCTGGACGAAGTCTCAGCTTTCTCACTGGAAAATGCAGACATTGCAAGAGCCCTGATGTGAAAACTGAATGAGGTTCAAATAGTGGCCCAGACGCTCTGGGAGTAAGACGATCACCAACCCCTGCCCTTCCGCCCAACCTGGGCAGAGGCCTGTTTAGCGGGTGTGAATTTGAAGTATCGGATGAAGTCAGGACAACACCTGCTTGGAGTCAGGGAGTCGGCCCAGCCTTAACACCCCAAGCTGTTTGATCTCAGGTGTATCCCTTGACCTGTCTCTGCCTCCGTTTCCTCACCTGTTCGACAGGACGATGGCTGCTGCTGAGGTCAGGATTAGCGAGATACCACATGTGGGTCAGTGGCAGGTGGGCAGCAATGCCACTTCCGACCGGTGTCACTCGGGATCATGTTTAACCTAATGCCAGGTGGAACCCACCAGCCCATGGCTCGGCAGAGGGGTGTGTGTGCGTGTGCGCGTGTGTGTGCCTTGTCTCTCAGGGGAAATATAAACACGTGGAGGGCAGAGATCAGGCCGTAGATTTCTCCGTCGTTAGGACTGGCACACAGCGGAGCTCAATAAATTCCTGCTGTCCTGCGGCCCCACTCATCTGTCACCGAGTAATAATGACCCGACTCCCGTGCTGTGCCTCCACCCGCTCTTCAACAGTTTCTGCCAATTCCCCTTCAAGCAGCCCGGAATTTACTGAGCATCTTCAACACGTCGGCCACCGAGGCCCATCCCTTTGGAAGATGCCACGCTGCCCTCCAACTGGAGTAAAGCAGACGGGAACCAGCGAGAGCACATAGAGAGTGACGGAGTGGCCAGAGGGACGCCCGGATAGGTGGGCACAGGGTGGACCCTGACACAGATGCGGGCTGGAGGAGGGGAGGGAAGAAGGGCCAAGGCTTGGAGGGGACAGGTGTGAGCTGGGAAGATGGAGAGGAAGGTGCCCCCAGCCTGTGGCGGGGGAGAACTAGCCAGCCTTGCCCCAATCACAGGTGAGGTGTCTGAGACCCAGCTGTCTGTGCCAGGAGGCCCGGTCTTATGCCCCAGTGCGCTGAACAATCTAAGGTTCTCTTGGAAGCTGACAGCAAGTGCAGGGTGATGGGTAAAGCCTGCAGGCTGTGGTGGGTCTCGCTCACTCACCCATTCGGCGATACCTCACCCTGCTAATACAGTTTGTCTACTAGCAGATTCTTGGGGATTTAAGCCCAACCCACAGAGAGCTGGCACACACACTCTTGTTCATAGGTCTCACCCCATTTGGGAGGAGAGAGAAGGGGAGAGACATGGTGTGTTGGCCTCCAGCCCTCTGCTGCCCCAGGGAAGAATGGAGCCCTGCCTGGCCCGCGGAGTCTCAGGACCAGCCTATCTGCGGGCAAGAGGGATACCTGAGTCAGGTATCTGCTGCCCTCCGTTCTCCCCAAGAGCCAGGTATTGGGCGTCCCACCTGCAGAAGGGGCAAGATGGGCTGAGAGGTGGAGGGTGCATCACCGGCTTGGGTGACCCCACAGTGCTATGGTCCCTGCAAACCTGGGCTCAAATCCCTGGCCGTCAGGGACCTGACCACACCCTGGATCCAGCCACGCCTCAGGCTGCCCCCATGAACTGGATACACCTGAGGGGGTTGTGAGCACTAATAATGTGGGGAGACTTAGCACAGGGCCTGGCAATTGAGAGCTGCCAGCACTTCCTCAAGTTCTCTGGGAACCAACTTCCTGGAGGCACTGGGGGAGAGAGAGGCCCAGGCTGAGCACATAGGCCGACCCGGTGGATCCATCTGGGAGGCGCAGCAGGAGCTGCTGAGAGGAGCCTGCAGTAACGGCGCACAGCCCACTGCCTCATCCCAAGGTGCCCAACATACATGGCCTGCACCCCCTTGGCTGTTTCACGATAGTGTGGCCATGGGAAGCATTGCCCACATTCCAGATTTCCACGCGTTCCATCCTCCAGCAGCCGTCTTCAGGGCCCCACGCGGGCTCAGATTTGGCAACACGTAGCGGTGACGGGGATTGGGGGAGGGCGACCCTGCATGGCTTCTACAGCTGATGGCACTCTGAGCTGTGCCCCCACCCTCATGCTGGCCCCATCAGGTCCTGCCCCTCGGCCATCACGTACCAGATGCATATCTCAACGCTTGGTCAAAAATCCAGGTCCCTGAATAGCGGCTTCGCACAGTTCCACGGTGGGGGCTGCCTTCGGGCGCTTTTCCATCTGAATTACGTAAGAAATCAGAAAGAGCCCGTAAAGTTGGGGAGTGCCAGGTGAGGAGGGGCTCTGAGTCTAGGGCTGGCCAGTCACCCCAGTTTTCTGGGCCTTTGTCTCCCCATCTGCACGCCAACAAGAACAAATCAGCTTGTCTACTTTCTCACTCGCATTCCGGCTGGCCCAGGGGGACCCAGGCGTTCCCTGGGAGGCTGGCGTATGGCAAAAATACAGCAGCTACAGGCCCAGAAACTTGCCCTGCGTTTGTGCACTTTCTCTATATTTGGACTGCTCATCTGGATGTAGCGAAATCATCCACAAAATGCTTATAAAGTTGCTTCCCAAATCCTCCCAGCAAAATGACCCATCAGGCAGAACGTGTATGCTGTGTCCCTTGCACCCTGGGGCTGGGGCTGGGGCAGTGGGTTGCTGGAGAGCCTTTTTGGGAACTCTTGGCCCAGACGGTGCCTGTGCTGGGTGCCTGATTTCCTGCCCGGCACACTCTGGCACACTCCTCAGGCTGCTGGGATTTCCAAGGATCCTTTTGTTCTTTGTCACCTCACTAGCTCCCGGCCTACTAAGTGCTGTGACTCATCTCACTCCCCGGCTCCAGCACCTCCACAGGGCCTGGCGTCTGCCCCTACTGCTCGGGTAAGGAAGGGAAGGTGCCAGGTGTATGCAGCATGCCTGCTTCACATGGCCAACCAGCGGGAGGAGGGCTGGACTCGAGGGCTTCTAGAATGCCCTCTCAGTTCATCCTCATCGGCCCAGCAGACAAAGGTGGTTATCAGCTCTATTTCTTAGGTGAAGGAAGCAAGGACTGGCACAGAGAGCCAGAGGCAGCTAGGTCTGCCTCAGCCCAGAGATAATAAGGGCAACTGCACAATCAACCTTCGGGAAAGCACCCACAGATGGTGCCTGGCAACATTTACCATTCAGAGAGCACCCCCAGGTCTCCTATCTGTCCTCTGTCCTCTGTCCTCCAGAAGTCCTCGTGTGGTTGGGCCAACTCAACTGCCACTTCGACTATGAGCTTGAGCGTTCTAGAGACAAGTGGCCCAAGCCTGCTGGACGACTCAGCAAGTGGCTGGCAAGGAAGTGGGCCCAGAACCGGTCTGCAGGGCGTTGGAGCCACTAGGCTGCCACTGTGCCAGGTCACCACTGCAGGCCGAGAGCTGTGGGTCCTCGTCAGTCCTGGGGTTCCCCCTAACAGGCAGAACCCCCACCATGCCTGGTACCACAGCAAGACTCCCAAGAGCCCCCTATCAAGAGTAGCGCGAGCAGATGCCAGGGACAGCTGGCAGGGCACACCAGCACATGGGAGCCAAGCCTTCACCTTCCTGCTGTCACCAGTGGCGCAGGCCCGGCTTAGCAGTCTAGCAGGTTCCCCAACCGCCTGGCACAGCCTGGCAGAGCCTGGCTCGGCTCCCTCCCTGAGA